ACTTTTCTGTTTCGACCTCACTGTGGAGAAGCTGGGTCTATCACACACCTTGTATCAGCCTTTCTGACAGCAGACAACATTTCTCACGGATTGCTCTTGAAGAAGGTATTGCTTGGTTGCTCACCTAAACTAATCACTCTCTGCTTAGACATCAGTCACTGGTTCAAACAGCAGCCACCACATTGTCTTTGTCTGGGCAGCCCAAAATTAATTTTCTTAGCAGGGCACAAGTAACTCTTCACTTTGATCAGAAATAAATAAGCTCAGCTGAACTTTGTATTTCTTATTTAAGGTACAAAAATACCACTTTTTGTAAGTGAAAATTTTAAAGCTATGTCTTTATAGGGAAGATTAACTGTACAGATATGTTAGGGACTTGGTGGCACGTGTTTTTGGTTACTCCATGCAGAGCTAAGATTACATGGAAAAAACTGTCTAGATTTGTTACTACTCCCTGGTTTGGGTCCCAGAAGAGTTTAAGACAAGGTCTAGCTTCTTCTGTACAGGGACAAAGGACACTTTCCTGACTGGCATCCCTGTACTTCAATCAGAAGTTCATTAAGGTTTTGATTATTTATATCTAGAGTAACTAGGATCACTTGATCAAGAAGTTTAACATAGCTGTATAACACAGCAGTATTTTATATACAACTTGATGGTTAGGACAGGACAAAAGTTATCATTCCTGGTGTATCAATTAATAAAAACCATGATGTAACTCATCCCCAGGCCACTATTTTGTAATTAAAATAGTTGGTCAGAGGGTGGCAGACTTGGACTGAGTTTATTGTAATTTTGAAACAGTTCTCTTATAAGTTGGATTTTCTGGTCAATGCTGGAAAATTCTCTCTGTGTTTTTCAGCATATCTAAGAACAAAGAAAAATTTTGCCTAAAATCATGTTTGATGTTATGCTCAGAACCAGTAATTCCTAAAATTAGACCCAGACAGAGTAGTACTAAGCCTGCATGTGACCAAAGCGTTCTCCTCTTCACTGTCTCCTGCTTAGCCTGGTATGATAACTTGGCATAGCAGATACTACTATTACTACTACTACTACTACTACTAGGCACTTGTTAAGTTCACAGGTTGGTTGAGCCAAAAACAGTAATGAAGGTGAGATGACCACAAAATATTTATATTATTTGCAACAGCAACACATAACTTTAATAAATCAAAACTTCTTTTGCTTCTAAAATTTACCTGTTGGACTGCAGTTTTGAAAATCACATACTGCTTAGCAGTTCTTATATATCTGTTATCTGTGACTTTCAGGTTTTGGGGGAACATGTGCAGTAAGTATCAAATGCAGTGCCCGTAACAGTCATGTATAGTTACTAACCTGCAGTGATACTAGTCACCACATTGTTAAAAAGAAGATGACATACATGTTGAAGAATGTTAATTATTCAGACTTTCAATATTTTCTCAAGAAGTCAGAGTTTAGTGTCAACTTATTTTTTTTTATTTTAGTCTTCCCTCTGTAATGCTGTTTCCATTTATCCAAGGGAAATCCTTCTTTTTTTCCTTATCCCATTGTACCATTAAGTACCAACTGTGTTTTGTTTTGCAGAGTCCTGTCCTCCAGTATCTTTATTATCTTGCACAAATACCCATTGCTATGTCTCCACTTAGTAACAACAGCCTATTCCTGGAGTACTCAAAAAATCCACTACGGGAATTTCTACATAAGGGACTTCGTGTGTCTCTCTCCACAGATGATCCTATGCAGTTTCATTATACAAAGGTAAGAATTGCAAAAAGCACTTGCCTTTCAATTTGGCAACAGCCCCACATTGGCCCAGAATGACCTGGAAGCTATTTTATATCATTGCTTAGGATGTAAGTTTCATATCTTTCAGTCACTTCATTCATTATTCTTCCTCATTCTCAGTCTACTACTCACTGTTAGGTTTCAGAGGGAAATGTCTGATTTCCTAATTATGTTTCTTTTGTACTCTTGCCTCTCCAGTGTTGGCTGTTGAAGTATAGAATGAAGGATGAGGCTGAAGGGAGGTTTGAGCCTTCATAAACAATCCTCTAGAGTGCCAGGAAAGTCCAGTTTCCTTACTAATAAATCTGGGGAAGTACATTACAAAAACACCATGTGGAATCTCTGAAGCTGACGTATGAGCTGTTTGCTCAGTGAACTGAAACTGATTCTTGCCCTTGGGTGGCCTGTCAGGACAGAAATGCCTGGTCACTGGTTTTGATGCCCCAATTTTGTGGTTGGCACTGAGTTGAGTCACGCTGTGCCTTAGAGTGGCCTGTACACTGCTCTCTTGTCTGTGTTCTGAGGACACACTGAGCTCTAGTGTTCTTCACCCAGGCTTGCTTCTGGCCCATGACATGTCTCTGCTAGAAAAGACAGAGAGCTTCCCTGGGGCTTTCTGCATGGTTGTAACGCAGCACCAGCCGAGTTACACATAGTGTGGAGGATCCTCAGCTGTGACAGCCCACTAGAATCAGACCCATCCTCCTTGTGTGGAAGGTCAGAAGTGAGAAATTGCCCTGCTATCTGTCTATGTACATATTCATGAAAGATTTACTAACAGATCCTCCAAGGTGCTTACATACCCTGGGATCTCATTTGAAATTGCCTCATAAATGCCTCTAAGGATCTGGACTGCAGGCTGCAGTTTCTTAGACTAAGATAAACGGATACCCAGTGCCTATTAAACAGTTGGGAAATTTGAAATAAACAATTCTGTTCATTAGTAATTGTGATGTTAAAGCCTTAAACCTCTAACTTTTCACAGCTAGCTAAAGAGCATGTATAAATTCCTTAATAAGTAATGAGTATATATCCATTTATGTATAATTTAATATTAAACATATTTTGGTGATACAGGAAGCTCTCATGGAAGAATATGCTATTGCAGCCCAGGTGTGGAAACTAAGTACCTGTGACTTGTGTGAAATAGCAAGAAACAGTGTACTACAGAGCGGATTGTCAGATAAGGTAATTATGGCTGAAAAAAATCTCTTGTGAATATTAGGGCAAGTAGGAACTGAGAAGTCACTAGTCTGAAAATTGAATAGTAGGTGCTTATGTGATGTATTTGTGCACATCCCTATCCTCTTTTCCAGAAATATTCGCAAACGATCTGCAATGCAGTCTTATATTAGAAAAAGTATTAACATTATATTTTTCCTCATTAACTTTGTTTTGAAATTCCCAAAACATGTAGAGAGACCAGGTGACTATACTCAGTCCTGCCTCCAGTCCCAAACCTTTAATTACGTGGGTGATATCCCTTTGTCACTAATTTTATACATCATGTCTTGCATTGAGTAAAAACAAACTGCCTGTCATAAGCAAGACATGTTTTTGCTTAGAAGGGAGTATTACAGAAAATATTCTGGTTTAGATAGGCAGTCAGATTAGATTAAATTACCTTTTGGCTTTAAAATTCTACACATTAATGGCTTTCTCTAGGACTTATTTTAGAGCATCCTCTCTTCTATGTCACTTTCAAACATTCCTCTCAAGGAGCTGGTATGTGAAGGGGCTTTACAAGTATATTCTGTTGTTTCTTACAATATTCTCTACTGGTGACTACTAATTTTCCTCTTGTGCAACTACCTAAAGAAACCTAAGCCTCCTTCTGACCTCTCACATGAAAGATTCAGTAGTGAAGACCGAACACTAGCACAAAGAGTTTTAGCAAGCCAGACTGAGTGCACTGCTGTGTAATTATGCATAGAAATTTTGGCCTTAAAATCTCCAAAACTGGTTAAGACCCGGAGGTACAGTTCAAAGGCCAGCTCGTTGGAACTGCTCTTTTCACTTGTACTGGAGTCATTCAGCTAACATATACTTGGTTATACAATAAATCAAAGCACTTGAACTGACTTCTTCCTTTTTGCATTTAATCCTGTTCACAGGAAAAACAGAAATTCTTAGGGGTGAATTACTGTAAAGAAGGGCCTGAGGGAAATGACATTCGAAAGACAAATGTTGCACAGATCCGGATGGCCTTCAGGTACGAGACACTGTGCAATGAACTTAGTTTCCTGTCTGATGCTATGAGAACAGAAGAGATTTCTACTCTGTCGAAGTAGTTACAAACTCAAAGAAACCAGAACATTTCACTCCAAAGCAGGATTGAACCATCTGTCTTTGATGCTAGCAAAACATAACTGAAGAGTACAGAGAAAAAACAGACTATCTACGGAAGGTAAACAGCGTTTGCTGTTATCTTTAACTGCATTATTCTTGTTGCAAAAATTTCAGTTTCTACAAACATTAGGATTTGTAAGATTGTTGTAAATATTCAATGCAAACTCAGAATCATGTAATATTTATTTCATACTGTCTTAAGTGTGCACTATATTGTAGCTTGGAAAACAACAGAGAATATTCGTAGCGCATCTGTGATATGCACCTTAAGGATTCTGCAGATGCTGACAGTATCCATGCACCTGTTTTTGTCCTGCTAGTCTCAGTAGCAATCATGGCATTTAGCACTTGTAAGTTTAACCCTGTATTCATTAGCAGTTTGTGTGGGGTGCATAATTTTGAGGCTACCCTTTCATTCTGGAAGGTGTTCTGTCACAGTTTTTATCTTAATGTTTCAGCAGTTATACTGGAAAACAAGAAAAACCAAAATCTGGTAGCCTTGTTTAATGATCAGTTAATTACTTCCTGTTGTCATGTAGGATGTCTGTGAAGAACAGCAGATTAATGCTTTTGAATCTAGTAAATAGAAAACATGGTGTCAAAATCACTATTGTACATTGTAATAATGAGTCGAATTATATAATGAAAAATTTGCCTTGGAAGTTGAGAACACTTTTTTATTGCTTTGTAATGGGTATATGTGGATTTGCCAGTTGAAATTACTTGGAAATTTATGCAGATAATTTTGGTTGCATATAAAGAGAAATTTTTTACTTGAACAAAGGAAGTGTTCTTATAAATCAGTGGTAGAAACTCCAGACCCGAGTTCTGGTCCTACTTCTGACATCTTTTTACATGTGTGTGTTAGTTTGTATTTTAGTCAATTAGAGATGAATGAGAAGTCAAATTCTCTATTTATACAGAAGCAAGCCACTTGAAATATGTTGTTTCAAGTCATGTTATGTTAAACTTTTTATTTATAATGGAGTGGCTAGTAAAATACAGCTACTGGAATATTTATAACTTTCAATCTTTTTTCTGTTTGATCATCCTTCTTAAGACACAGTACTACTCATTCATAAAGGATTAAAGGTAATAACATGATAGCATCTATGTATTGTAGAAGCTGCATGTAGTTTCACACCAAAAAAGACTGGAGGCTAGGGGCAGCCTGCAAGTCCAACATTACAGTACTTAATTTGAAGGCCTATAGTCCCTAAGCCAGGATCTTGAGCCTACACTTAGAGACCTGGGTATCTAATGTAATACAGAGGGAGATTAGGCATTTTAGGACAGTAATTCAGAATTAATGCATCAAAAGAAAATAATTAATACTAGCCAATCAAGCCTCACTAGGCCTAGAACCCTGCATGTTTCACATCATCAGACACTTCTTCCACTTGTATCTCTACCTCTTAGGCCAGGCCCTTCTCCTGGGTGTTGGGCACCTACATCCTTCCTTTCAAGAACTGATGAGGTCTCACTTACCCTTGTAAATGAAGCCAGAAGTAGCAGTGGTGACATCAATAGCACCAAACAACTCATTAATGGCATAAATATATGTATGCATTGAAGAAGACATACGCTCTCTTGAGGCTGTGGCAGTTCAAAGCAATACCTACAAAGACACCTACTGTCCTGAATGGTGATTGCAGGGAAATAGCGCCAAAGTAAGGGAAGGAGGAATTCGCTGTCACCTCCTGTAGCTGTGCAGCCCTATAGGAGCCCCATGATTAAACCTGAAGACCCTTAGGAAGCAGCCTGGGAGCAAGGCTACTCTGAGAGAGATGGAGGCACAGCAGCAGAGTTCTGTCTCTCCAGTCATCATTACAGTTAGCCAGTGTCATGCAGAGGGAGCTGCAGTGAGTGGGGATGCTCTTCATCCAAATTACAGTTGCAGACAGGTGGTGGGAGACTTGACTTCAGCTCTTCAGTGACCTAGCCTAATGTCTGCAATGTTCAGCTAGTGCCAGATTTTGTACTCCTTGTGCAGCTAAAACGTATGTGAAACTGTGCTATGCTGCTCAACTGTATGGTAATAAAATCGTCCAAAGTTCTTAGTCAGCAATGCCTGTTGGCCTCATTGTTAGAAACTGTAGCAGCTCATATAATGCATTACTGGGATTGGTGAGTGTAATTTCTTTAGGATGAAGTCTGAACACAGTGGTTCAAACATTTTAGCTGCATAAAATGCAGATGTCTTGTTTTCATTAGTACAACTTACTAATAAATTGTTATCAGCATAACATGTACACATGAAAAGCATCTGTGTCCAAGCTAAATAAGCAACATGCTTGGTTTGTAAAATTTAAATTGTAAGTATTTTCATGTGAAAAAACATTGCTGTACTTGGCTTGCTTCACCTGAAGATTGCTATTAGTGCTGCTTTCGTTGTCACTTAGATTTCTTATTTAGTTTTCTTAATATTACACCAAATTCATGTGTTTTCAGCTTTTCTTACCTCAAACACATCAGGTTCTAATATGTCTGTAGCTATTACTAAAGAAAAAAAAAAACTGGATTGAGTATTCAGTTAATGGACAGTAATTGGGATGTTGACAATAATACCAGTAACATACAAGTGGCCATGACCACGAGTTCTGCTTTCTGTGCTTCCTTGTGTGCTGCTTTTGAGGATAAATTGAGCTAATAGTGTTGTATTTAGGGAAACAAACCAACATCCACTTCCACTAGTACATCTCTTTTGGTCATCTTTTAATTAGGCAAAAGTCATTGATTCTCAAGTTCAGTTCTTAAACTTCAGCTTCTTTTCTTTTATAAAGCTTGCACTTTTGTTCTAATGCAGGGCTGTTCAAAATAACCTTGCAGCCTTAGGCAATGTATGTAATGGAGGGCAGATCCAGTGCTCAAGTGTTACTGACATCTGAATGACACTTGCTCGCATGACTAAAATGCAACCCAGGGCAGTCGCTGATTTCCTGCCCGCCAGTGTTGAGACCAAACCTGGTTACATCACAGCTTATGTTTTACTCAAACAGAAAGGGACTAGAAGAACATCATGGTAGGTGGTGACTGGGGTGGGAGTTGCTTCCGAATGGGAGAATATCCCATTTTCTCATCCTTTCATTGGTGTTAAGGTTCAAATTATTCAAGACTTCCTTAAATCCGTTAACGCAGAGCAGTTTGTACTTTCACCCAAAAGGGTTAATTATAGTTATTTGATCTTTACAACATCACTTTCTAGTGATGCTCTCCTATTCTGTTATGTTACTTTAGCAAACTTAAGGCATTTGTTCTGCCACTGGATAATACAATTTTTTTTTCTCACCCCAGAGCTACCTTATCTTCCCATATCATTGTTCCTTACTTATGGCTAAACCTTTCTGTTCTATTTGCCTAGTTAAAATCTAGGTCTGAAAAAGGTGGGTGGGGGGAGGGATGTCTGTAAAAACTGCTTTTTCTTTCTGTGCCTGGGTTAAATTGTGTTTATCTTTTGCCTCTTGTGGAAGCATTAAACATTACCCTAATAAAAAAATTATAAAATAATATGGTTAGGGTTTTTGTGTGTATATACCTCACAATATAAATTGTAGCTGCTCTAAATCTCCACATTTAAGTAGAACTAAAAACCTTTGCAAATGAATTGTTAGCTGTACAAAAGACTAAACCAAAATTAAGGACTACCACAGCATGAAACCTGAAAAAAAACCCAGCAGAGACAAAGAAGATAATAAGCAATATTTAGAAGGAGCTAAAAGCTTAGCAATTAAAGCAATTCAGCGTTAATGAAGACCAACTGTTCCAATTTGTGCCAACAGAAGACCTGGCATTAAAGCCTGAAGTGCAACTGTACTGCACTGCCCGCACTATCTCTGCGTGCCCTGGTTCCTGGCTCACCCAGACTGGGCATCAGGGTAGTGCATGCAGCACCTCTTTCTGATCCTGCAGCCTCATCTTGTTATTAAACCACAAGTCAAAACACCTGAATTTGGGAGCAGGAAAGCAGTTCTGACACTCACACTTGAAACAGTTTAAGCAGTACACAGAACAGCTTTATCTGACAGAAAGAACACATGAAGCCAACAAGTGACAAACTGAAATAAATAATATAAACAGACATTCTGCTACAGTCAAGATGACTTTTAAGGAAAAAAAGTTTAACACAAGTTACTTTCTTTGGTTGGAAATGTAATAAAGACTTTTTGATGAAGATTAAAATGTGTGTCTCTTTCTGTACACAAACCCTTTTTTTCCTGTATGCAAGCAGCACTCATGAAGCACAAAGGTACAGATGAATCTGTAACTGAAGAATGTGTATTTCTCCTCCATACCTCTCAAAGCACTAAGTATCAGTGATAAGCAGCATAAAGAACAGCATATATATAATAGTAAGACACCAACACTGTTAATCTTTAATCATTAACCATGACTAATGGGTACAGTCTCACATAAAAAATGCTTTTTGGAAGGTGGGTTGGAACCACAGTAGCCTGGAAGCATAGACTGCTGTATTGAATTCCTACCTTGTTCCACAGTCAGTTTCCAGAAGGATAGGTTTCTGACTAATTTAGGCTTAATTCATAAAAACACCTTATATTTTTAAATAGCACTTTGAACTAAAGAACAGTGCTCATATATTACCTGTTGGACAGTATTCTTCATTCTACCAGACTCACACTGGGCAGAGCTCCATCCAAGTTCACAAAACTGATAATTTTTAAATTTCAGGCTAGAAAACCCATGCCCAGTGTTTAATATTTTAACCTCAGGTTAGTGAGGTAAGCAATCATCTGCTAGTTAAAATCCTGACAGCTCAGATACAAAAGCAGAAGGTGGTGTCAGATCCCTCACAGACCTAACATTATTGGAACATGGCTAGTTCGCAGCAAAATGCATTATCTGGTGATCATACGCTGGTGTTGCTGGAAAGAACACTGTCCCGTTCAGGTTAATTTCAGCTACACTAGCAACAGGAAAAGAG